CCTGTGTGTGTATGTATGTATGTGTATATGTTTGCATGTATGTGTGTGTGTATGTATGTATGTATGTATGTATGTATGTATGTATGTATGTATGTATGTATGTATGTATGTATGTATGTCTGTCTGTCTGTCTGTCTGTCTGTCTGTCTGTCTGTCTGTCTGTATGTATGTATGTATGTATGTATCTTTGTGTGTATAATTGTATGCTTATGATGTATTATGTTTATGTCTGACCACCATGTTGTCTAATCATATTGATTGTTTATATCAATAAAATATTCTGAAACGAGACAAAACAATACAAATTTTAATCTAAGGTGCTCTAGCCGGATGATTCTATAAAAAAAGTTTAAAAAATAAAAAGTAAAATAAAGTTCTTGAACATGTTTCCTTGCTGCCTTATATTCAATATACCGTATATGTAAGGGCGATTGTATCACCAGGGTCACGCCACATACTGTTCAAAAAGCGGAGCACTGTGGTATAGCGTGTATACGTAAACACTTCTGTCACGGTTCATGAACCCCTGTGTACGAATTCTAGTAGGACGATTGCATGGATAGAAACTAACATAAGAAATCAAAAAGCTCCATCACTATCATACTGTATAAACAGTTCAATATTGTTCATTTTAAAGTATTCATTCCAAATGTGTCGGACTTTGATAATTGATAAAACGCAGTTACTATGTTTTTTGCACGTGATTGAGACATGTGTTAATCGAAAACCATATAGTGTTTTTATCATCCTAGCGATCTAACGCCTAGGGCAGTCAAAAAAGAAATGTTGATCTGTTTCAGTTGGGGTACCACATCCACAAGATGGGTCACTTACATACATACATACATACATACATACATACATACATACAGACATACAGACAGACAGACAGACAGACAGACATACATACATACATATAAACTTGACATCACATACATACAATCATAAAATTTGTGTTGACAGACTAATTAATTTGGTATTTTTTGTATATTTGTTTTATTGTTATTTAGTTTTATTTTATGAGAATGAAATTAAAATGCGACACCACATACCTCGAAAATGAAATAAAAACAAGTAAAAACATTACTTATTTCATAACTAAAACAATATTAACCTTTTTTTGTTCTAACTAAAAATGTTTATAAGCAACCGTAGAGCAACCATGTGAAGCATCAAACAACTCACCTTCATCATATAGTTTTAACCAGTGTGTGATTATCTTACCTGTTCGATAACGAAGATAGTATAGTTCAGCTGTTGTCTCGTCAGCATTGGATGGAGGTTGTAGAGAAGCGTACGTAATTGTGATGACCTGTTTCGGTAGGGTATCACTATAGCCACTCGTTGGTTAGTTCGACATTCCTGAGGTTCGAAGTGTCCACCTGGCTTTAGATATTTCAGTTCCAGCTCCATTTTTTCCAAAGATGGGGAATTTTTGTATGTTGCTAGAGGACCAACTATCAACATGAAACGATTAGATTAATACGATATTCAAACAAAATTCAAAGAATTAATGAAATGGTAATAAAAAAAAAAAAAAAAAAACATTTTCAAAAATATAATTGTTCAATTGTATCAGTCTGTTGTTTATGCATGATATGGTATCGAAAATTGTCAAACATTTTGCAATTTTAATGAATAGATCTATCTTACAGATGTACATATCAAATTCATTTACCGTCATTTGTTTAATTGGTTTAAAGAACCGATAATACAATGGCCCAATGTCCGTCTGTCATTGTGTATTTTCATTCATTTTGCGTAAAATAGAAAATACTCCAGACCCAATGTTGCATCAGAAATATTAGTGTTTGGCCAAATGAAGTTACGAAGACGTATCTTTTTAAAAATCCTTTTTATTTCATTTTCATAAAAGTGAAAAGGAATCTTTGTTACCATTTTTGTGCCAATTGTAACTAAAACTCAGGTTTGAATAAATAGTGTTTTTCTCTCTACATTGTAGGTGTTATTCAGTGTTGGCAACTAAGGGAAGCAAAGATCATTACTTTGTGAAGGGCAGTGGTGAAATGCGATAAGGAATAGACACAGAATCAATTAAAGTTAAGCATTTATTCATAAATTATCTCTGAAACATGATAAAAATGTAACATGACGAAAACACACATTGTTCAGGGTTACAGGTATACTCCGGCTTCAGGAGATGATTGAAATAATGACGATTTATCCAAGTACAGCCATGGAACTTCGCCTGACCTCCTGATTACTTAAGCTCTAAAGAATTGTACAAAACGTACGTAATTGTATATCACTAAAGGATTTTTTTATAGGCAAATGTATATACCAATTAACTTAGTAAATTGCAACTCATAGTTGTCACGTTATGATAATGCTCGCATATATATATATATGTACAATACTAAGCCGCTGTACGTTACATTTTGCCAGTATACACAATTTTTATATCTGACACACTTAGGATATATATGTATGAAATACAGATAACATACACATATCACATAGTTCAGTTTTTTAGTGTCAGTTCTCGATTTAAAATTGCTAGTTCATCAATATTTCTATTAGACCTAGAAAATAATATACTAACCAAGTCTTGGTGGGTTTGGTGGACATTCAGGTAAGTAATCCGTCCAGTTAGAATCTCCATGAGCCGCATTGTAAAATCGAAAATGTTGCTTGTGTGCCAAACTATAAAATAGAACTTGAATAACTATGAACGCTGTTATTAATATAGTGCAAACTCTTATTATAAGATCCGGTTTGGAAGCCATATTTTTCTCAGCAGAAGTCGAATATCTCAATTTTGTAAAGTTGACACAATAATGGTATTTAAAACCAGAGAGATTGCTGATTGCCGTCCGATGATTTCTTTATGATTGCCTGAATATTTCTGTACAGGATAACAACTTCATACGCGGTCACGTTTGGTTAGCCAAGCGTTGTTTGCAATAGACTTTTTTGTAAATGTTTAACATTTGAAAATTAGTTTATGTGGGCTTTGTTGGAGGATTTATGTAAGTTGAAATTTAGCCAAGGACCGCCCATAATTTGAAGTTTTCATAGATATTGAAAATAATCTGAAAATGAGTAGTAATTGACAAGTGATAGGAACAATGTATATTGTATTTGTATGCCAGTGTCTTAACAAAAATTCAATTGCTGCAATAGACCAAGAATATTATTTTTCATCTTTCTGCTGTCAAGGGGACCCTATTTCTCAATAATTTTCAGTGCAGAAGATTAAACAGTTATGAATAATACCAATGTAAAGGAGTATTAGCGATCAGAATTAGGACCAATAATAATGTCAAATATGTATAAGTAATCAGAACTATGACAAATAACAATGTGAAAGGTGTATTAGCGATCAGAATGAGTACAAATAACAATGTGATCGATGTATAAGTGATCAGAATAAGGACTAATAATAAAATGAAAGATTTGTTAGCGATCAGAATTAGGAATAATAACAATGTTAAAGGTGTATTAGAAATAACCACTGCAGTAATCTAGAATGGAGACAAACCACTTCAGTAATGTAGAGAGGAGGAGGCTTACTTCTATAGTAATATAGAGATGAGACTACGTACTACAGTAATCTAGAATGGAGACAAACCACTACAGTAATCTAGAGAGGAGATGAACCACTACAGTAATCTAGAGAGGAGACAAACCACTACAGTAATCTAGAATGGAGATGAACCACTACAGTAATGTAGAGAGGAGACAAACCACTAAAGAGTAAGTGTCTACGGTATGTTCTTATAACTGGGCAAACAAATGTTCAGTATTTTATTGTGATGTTCTCTATCACCCACATGTAATTTATACTTAGTCTCTCCTCATTGTTTTTGTTTATTTCATTTCAGTGATGTCATTAGACGACATTATCGGTTGTCTGGAGGGATGATCGGGTAGCACAGTTGTAATGCAATCGAATTAACCGAGCCATCCATTGTTCGATTCCTGGAAAGGACGTAAAAAATAAGGGCGTCATCTGCCCGACCATAGAGACTGCCTCTGGTTACTCTGGTTTTCTCCCGCAGTAAGTACCCACGTGCGCTTTTATGTCCTGGCCAACAAGATTTAGTTTAAGTTGTTTCACAATTGTTGTAAAATAAATTAAGTATACACATTTAGAGAAACTATTTCAATTCTAATTCGGTCCGAATCACTCCTGACAATATTTCATGACTTGTTTTTAAGATGTTACTATTGTATAAACATGTTTTCCGTTCGGGCAATAAATTTGCATTTAATATAAGCATTTACAAGCAATAAAATCCCACTTGGTATTCGGATTTGTACTTAAAACACTTTTCGAAATTTGGACGCTTTCTCCTCCGGAACATTTGATCTTATTATTATTTTTTTTTTAGGGATCTCCTGATAAATCTTTCTTTTGTTCATATTTTGACCTAGTTTTAATTAATTTGAGTTTGAATCATGATTAAGCTGACATGTTGGTATTTTCCCTTTTTAAAAGCCTGCACAACGAGGTTTACACTCCAGTATGATTCAATGATGATCTTACCGATATGATTAAATTACACAACAAAAACTTATAAATATAGAAATAGAACCAGAGAATGAATCCTGGGTTGTTGGTCTTGTCCATCAAAGTCTGTCACAAATTCTGTGTTTAATAAATGGAAAAATAAACACAGGTGTATTAAATTTTGATATATTTATTAACAAATGTACGTGTACATATATTCATTCTCAAGTGACTGAAATAAATGTTCTTGGCTGTACAACTATCATCCACCCTTACATACATAAACTGGTAGACAGACAGAAAGGCAGACAAACAGGCTGGCAAATACAATTACGAAATGACGAGAGACCCACTGGCTAAAATACTAATATTTATAATAAGACTAAAACTGCGATTTGTGCGGTTGACATGGTTACCTGTCGATCTAATGAATAATAGGCATGCGGGTCCTTGATCTCGGTATCATATTTTTAATGTGTAAACACAGAGAACACCTACCACTAGCGCTGTCTGTTTTAATTCATAACTATATGGCGTAATCTTTCTGGTCTATTTCGACCTGGATATTAGTATACAGCGTCCCCCTGGTTATATTTAACACTTTATATTTCAGACTGTTGATCCCGTCAGTTTTCATTCTCATAGTAGCAGCGGCTAGCAACGTCATCCTGAAGTAAACATGGCGCATATTTTAGAAATACACAACGCCACGGGACAAAATAACAAGGGAGATAATATCGACATAAAGGAACCTGAATTCAGACACAAATTGTTTGAAGCTATGGCAATAATAACAAATGAAACTAATGAAATTAAACCGAGGCCCCTTAGAAAGTACAACGATAATAAGACAAGTCATAGACAAGTGTTAGAAAGAGAAAATGGATATGATACAATTTGGTTCGTTATCTGGGTCTGCTCTATCGGCACTGGTCTTATCTTGATGGACGAAACTGCTAGGTCATCTCGAGCAAAGGCGACAGTGCAGGTGACGGTGTAGTATCTAGAGCAAGGGTGACGGAGCATTATCTAGAGCAAGGGTGTAGGAGCAGTACCTAGAGCAAGAGTGACAGAGAATTATCTAGAGCAAGAACGACGGAGCAGTACCTAGAGCAAGAGTGACAGAGAATTATCTAGAGCAAGGCGAAGGAGCAGTATCTAAACAAAAGACGACTGAGCAGTATCAAGAGAAAAGGAAACGGAGCATTATCTCGAGCAAAGTCAAGGGAACGGTTTACAGAGCAAGGGCGACGGAGCATTTACAAGAGCATATCGACGAAGCAGTATCTCTAGGAAAGGTAACGGAACAATATCTATATCAAGGGGCATTGGAGCAGTATCTGGAGGAAGGGTGACTGTATCAAAAGAACAATAATTTGTTCAATGATTATACAAAAGATGACAAGTGAATAGCACCTTTATCATAAACTTAGCGTTAGATACAGTAGTGTCAAACAATGAATCAAATTGCAGTATAGAGCTGGTTCGTCCCTCTGGGACTCTTCACTGAAGATAAGTGCTAAAATTTGGAAGCGATTGAAAAAAAATCAAAAGGCATCGAAAGAAAAGTAATAATTTAGGTAATTGGTAATTTCACTAATTGTATTCTTACATGCCCATATAGGAAAAGTCTTTTAGTCAACATAAACACAATCTACTGTGAATCAATAATTTGCCGCAATAGATTATATTTCGCGTTCATTCATTATCAAATGGATTGACAGTATATAGTAAGTGTCATGGAATGCTGTAATCAAACGTACCTTTTAGGATTAGGCATATTGTGTTTTTCTTTGGTATGTTTTATCATCTTGTAGCGCGAAATCGTCATACTGTATCTTTGTATCTTCAAAGAGGCATTCCTTAATCTGAATACAAGGATAAATATGAATTATTACAAAATCAGAATAAAAAATTATCCAGCACTTGTGAGTCTGAATCACTTGTAGATTAAAACATCTTTCTAGCGGCTTATTCCTTTATTTACAGAAGAAAATACTGACATTTTAACAGATTTTTTATATTCGACCTCAAAATCGGCGAAAGTAAAAACAAATATGAACAAAACAAAGATTCACAAGGAAACTCCTAAAAACATACAAGGAGAATAAGACCATGTGTTTCGGAAGATCAATTTTTTTCCCTCATCGACGTCACCCACTTTGTAAATTCTGGTGAATCAGAGTAAGTAATATCATGCTTCTTAATCAAAATAAGTGAAACAACAATGGTATGACTAGCTATGTTAATGATTATCAAACACATCCAACTCCAAATCGTACCACAACAAGCCAAACATTTTCATAATCTTAAACCCGATTATGTCATTTGACAGTTGCCGATATTGTGCACGGAAATTTTAATATTTAGAACAGTCTCTGAATAACCATCATCTGCGACATGTAAGCACCATAGTTGAGCGTGCTGAGCCCCTTTCCTTTATGTACATACAAGTGAGACGACACATCAATAATTGGTGTTTAGACACAATACCTGACAGATAAGTCGTCATCTTCACCACCCCAACCAAAGTATAAGTTGGAGAAACCATTTATTATTTCAACATCATTTCGTCGTAGTTGAGTGACTCCACCGGCAATGGATTGATAGGGCAGCCTTGAAGGATAAGGATATTAGATTCAGTATAAAGTGGTAGATAGTGATATTGATTGTAGATAGTATGATACATTTTGTCGTTATGTATGGCGTTTTGTGGTACATTTTGTCGTTATGTATGGCGTTTTGTGGTACATTTTGTTGTTATGTGTGGTGTTTTGTAGTATATTTTGTTGTTATGTTTGATGTTTTGTGGTACATTTTGTCGTTGTGTATGGTGTTTTGTGGTACATTTTATCGTTTTATAAGGTGTTTTGTGGTACATTTGTCATTATGTATGCTGTTTTAAGGTAGATTATCTGTTATGTGTGGTGTTTGGTGTTATATTTTGTTGTTATGTGTGGTGTTTTGTAGTATATTTTGTTGTTATGTTTGGTGTTTTGTGGTACATTTTGTCGTTGTGTATGCTATTTTGTGATACATTTTTGTTGTTATGTGTGCCGTTTTGTGGTATATTTTCTTGTGTGTTGGTTAAGAGTGTTTCCGGTTTTGTGTCGGTTAAGTTATATTTTTGTCATTGTGTGATTTTTTGTGTGATATTTTTATAATGTGCTGTATTTTCTGTTGAATTTTGACCTTGTACATTGATTTTATGTGCATTTTATCGTGAGCTGTTTCTTGTGTTAAACTTTGTCATGGTGTGTTGTTTTGTGGTATATTTTGTCATTGTGTGCTGTGTACATTCTGCTGTTATGTGCTAGTTAAACCATATTCTCATCGTTCTACTTTCGTTTTCGGGTGTATTTTGGCATTGTGTGTTGTTTCATTTGTTTTCTTATTTTGTAGTTTCTTTTTGTTTTTATCTTTATGTATGTGTTGGAATTAAGGTGCATTTTTCATTGCTTTCTGTGGTACTTTTTGTTGTCAGGCGTTAGTTTTCATTTCGTTATGTGTGTACATTTGCTTTAGAAATGTCTTTACATGATTTGAAGATGTTGTTATGCATTATTTTTTATGGAATGTTTTGCTTTATTGGTACATTTTGTCACAATTGATGCCATATTTTCATTTTGTGTACAAGTTTCATTTGTCCTTCTTCAACGTTACGAATTCAGTTACGCAATGCCGAATTTGTGTTAACGTTACGCATTACAAATGTAGTCAAAATCATTGTGCTAAGCCTTTATACAAACATCTGGATACTCATGTTGCACTATCATCCAATCACATTATAAGTCAAGTACCTATAGTTGAATTTATCTATGGCTGCTGAGAGGTGACGTGGACCATTTCCACAACCGTAGTAGATACGATCGTCTTCGGGAATGAGGTCAACGTCATGGAAAACAAAACATCTGAACTGTTCAGATTTCATTGCCTCGACGTATCCAATATTCATCAGAAGTCCTCTGTTGAACGTATTCGTTCCAGCCTGAAAAGAAAGCATAGCTATTCTATAACGGTCTCCATCATTTGGTAGTTATCCATCATAGTCCTTCAAAATTATGTTCTTATTTTTTGTTAATGCATAAACCTTCACATTTCACTTCTTCATATCTGTAAAACACACGTGAACCAACTATAGAGTAAATGTTGGATAAAACGCCAGACCTCACGGGAAAATGATTCATTTGTTACGAATGTCGTGAAATTATGGACTTCTTTGTGTCACATTGAAGTTACGCAATTTCGCGATTTAAATTCTGTATCCTAAAATCAAGTGACCCATCTTGTGGATGTGGTACCCCAACTGAAACAGATCAACATTTCTTTTTTGACTGCCCTAGATATAATAACCCTAGACAAAGTTTATAACAAACCCTTTGTTTATAACAATAAATCATTGTTTGATGCTGTAGTTAACAATATTGATGATACAGAAAAGGCTTTAATGTCCAATGTTTGATATATATTGATATGAATTGAACTTATAGAACAAATCTAAAACTAAGACAAAATAGAATTTGTAAAAATTGATATCCTTCCATAGATATAGTCAATTCAACTTTCATTTATCATGAGATGAATGCCGGTTAATAGTTATTTACTTGTTTCCCTATTATTATTTGTTCTTTCTGATTTATTCACAATATTTCAGTTAGTACTTATAATGAGGAAACAACTCTGAATAAATAGTTCTCTATCTTGGTCTAAATATCCTTTTTATTTAGAATAATAATCCCTTGATATCAGAAAAAATGTGCATTATGTGTACTTGCTCCCTCACTAAAGTGGGAGAGGGCTTTTGTATGTATGTATGTGTGCGTGTGTGTGTATTTATGTATGTGTGTGTGTGTGTGAATGTATGTATGTATGTATGTATGTATGTATGTATGTATGTATGTATGTATGTATGTATGTATGTATGTATGTATGTATGTGCGTGTGTGTGTATGTATGTATGTGTGTGTATATGTGTGTAGGTGTGTGTGTATGTGTGTGTATGTATGTGTGTGTATGTATATATGTGTGTATGCTTGTTTATATGTATGTATTTGTGTATATATATGTATGTATGTATGTATGTATGTATGTATGTATGTATGTATGTATGTATGTATGTATGTATGTATGTATGTATGTATGTATGTATGTATGTATGTATGTATGTATGTATGTATGTATGTTTATGGTGTATGGTGTATTATGTTTTTTTTTACCGCCACTTTTATATGCCTGCTGTCTATTCCTATTAATAATTTTTAAATGAAGTGGCCTCGCAAAAAATCGTATAATAACCACGTGTACTCCTAATTCTGTAGTCTATCACTGAAAGTATCAATTGTATACACCAGTATTTTATTTAGGTGGTATAATGCAAATGTATTTTTAGACAACTAACTGTAATAGTAATATAAACGCTGATATATACAAACTATTTCAGAGTTATTAGTTTTTGATAGTGTGAAACCAGGCGTTAGATCGCTAGGATGATAAAAACACTATATGGTTTTCGATTAACACATGTCTCAATCACGTGCTAAACATAGTAACTGTGTTTCATCAATTATTAAAATCCGACACATTTGCAGTGAATACTTTAAAATGAACAATATTGAACTGTTTCTACAGTATGATAGTGATGGAGCTTTTTGATTTCTTATGTTAGTTTCTATCCATGCAATCGTCCTACTAGAATTCGTACACAGGGGTTCATGAACCGTGACAAAAGTATTTACAAATACACGCTATACCACAGTGTTCCGCTTTTTGAACAGCATGTGGCCTGACCCTGGTGATACAATCGCCCTTACATATACGGTATATTGAATATAAGGCAGCAAGGAAACATGTTCAAGAACTTTATTTTACTTTTTATTTTTTTAAACTTTTTTTATAGAATCATCCGGCTAGAACACCTTAGATTAAAATTTGTATTGTTTTGTCTCGTTTCAGAATATTTATTGATATAAACAATCAATATGATTAGACAACATGGTGGTCAGACATAAACATAATACATCATAAGCATACAATTATACACACAAAGATACATACATACATACATACATACATACATACAAACTTTACATCACATACATTCAATCATAAAGTTTGTGTTGACAGACTAATTAATTTTGTATTTTTTGTATATTTGTTTTATTGTTATTTAGTTTTATTTTATGAGAATGAAATTAAAATGCGACACCACATACCTCGAAAATGAAATAAAAACAAGTAAAAACATTACTTATTTCATGACTAAAACAACATTAACCTTTTCTTTCTATCTATAAATATTCATAAGCAACCGTAGAGCAAGGGATGAGACACAGCTTATAACACCGTATCCTGTTCACGTTAAGAACAACCATGTGAAGCATCAAACAACTCACCTTCATCATATAGTTTTAGTGTGTGATTATCTTACCTGTTCGATAACGAAGATAGTATAGTTCAGCTGTTGTCTCGTCAACATTGGATGGAGATTGTAGAGAAGCGTACGTAAATGTGATGCCCTGTTTCGGTAGGGTATCACTATAGCCACTCGTTGGTTAGTTCGACATTCCTGAGGTTCGAAGTGTCCACCTGGCTTTAGATATTTAAGTTCCAGCTCCATTTTTTCCAAAGATGGGGAATTTTTGTATGTTGCTAGAGGACCAACTATCAACATGCAACCATTAGATTAATACGATATTCAAACAAAATTCAAAGAATTAACAAAATGGTAATGAAAATAAAACCATTTTCAAAAATATAATTGTTCAATTGTATCAGTCTGTTGTTAATGCATGATAAGGTATCGAAAATTGCCAAACTTATTTCAATTTTTAATGAATAGTTTTATCTTACAGACGTACATATCAAATTCATTTACCGTCATTTGTTTAATTTGTTTATAGAACCGATAATACAAAGGTCCAATGTCCGTTTGTCTAAGTTTATATACTTACATGTATTTTCATTCATTTTGCGTAAAATAGAAAATACTCCAGAGCATAAATTGACAGTGGGACCCAATGTTGCATCAGAAATATTAGTTTTTGGCCAAATGAAGTTACGAAGACGTATCTTTTTAAAAATCCTTTTTATTTCATTTTCATAGAAGTGAAAAGGAATCTTTGTAACCAATTTTGTGCCATTTGTAAATAAAACTCAGTTTTGAATAAATAGTGTTTTTCTCTCTACACTGTAGGTGTTTTTCAGTGTTGGCAGCTTTGGGAAGGAAGTGGTGAAATGCGATAAGGAATAAACACAGAATCAATTAAAGTTAAGCATTTATTCATAAATTATCTCTGAAACATGAAAAAATGTAACATGACGAAAACACACATTGTTCAGGGTTACAGGTATACTCCGGCTTTAGGAGATGATTGAAATAATGACGATTTATCCAAGTACAGCCATGGAACTTCGCTTGACCTCCTGATTACTTAAGCTCTAAAGAATTGTACAAAACGTACATAACTGTATATCACTATTAAAGGATTTTTTTATAGGCAAATGTATATACCAATTAACTTAGTAAATTGCAACTCATAGTTGTCACGTTATGATAATGCTCGTATATATATATATGTACAATACTAAGCCGCTGTACGTTACATTGTGCCAGTATTTACAATTTTTAAATCTGACACACTTAGGATATATATGTATGAAATACAGATAACATCATATGATAAACGACAGATTGACTACACATATTACATAGTTCAGTTTTTTATTAGAAAGTATTATATCTGGGCAATTCGTTTCAGTGCCAGTTCTCGATTTAAAATTGATAGTTCAACAATATGTTCATTAGATCTAGAAAATAAAATACTAACCAAGTCTTGGTGGGTTTGGTGGACATTCAGGTAAGTAGTCCGTCCAGTTAGAATCTCCATGAGTCGCATCGGTTATCACAGACATAACTTTCATTTCGTTTGCCATTTCCAGATGTTTCCGTATTGCTCCACTGTAATTCTTGATCAGTACTATGTTATTGTACAATCGAATATTTTGAGTTTGTGCCGAACAATAAAATATAACTTGAATAACTATGAACGCTGTTAATAGTATAATGCAAACTCTTATTATAAGATCCAGTTTGGAAGCCATATTTTTTTCAGTATCTCAGTTTGCTGTCAGGTAATTTATTCATAATTGTATTTCTGTCGACAATTCAGAGTAGCCGGGGTCACGTTTGGTTAGCCAAGTATTGCTTACAAACGGGATGTGAGATCAGCTTCGGATATCTTTGATAGATTTAATGTGTTTTTAAAATACCGCAGTAGTATGGACTATAATCATTTGGTGGATGATTAATACATGTTGGCATATTGCTAAGGATCACTTTCAATTTGTTTTCATAAAAGTTGAAAATAGTCTTTAAAAAAAAAGAGCAGTTATATGAACAATGTACATAGTATATTGTATTTGTAAGCCAGTGTCTTAACAAAAATGCAACTTCTGCAATTGACTAAGAATGTTATTTTTCACCTTTCTACTGTCAAGGGGACCCTATTTCTCAATTTATTTTTGTTAAGAAGAAACAGACATGAATAATACCAATGTAAAGGTGAATAAGCGATCAGAATAAGGACCAATAATAAAGTCAAATGTGTATTAGCAAACAGAATTAGGACAAATACCAACGTGAAAGGCGAATTAACAATCAGAATAATGGCCAATATCAAAATAAATTGTGTATCAGCAATCAGAATAATGATCAACAACAATATCGAAGGTGTAATAAGAAATAGGACCAATAACACTGTGAGAAGGGAATTAGAGATCGGAATAAGGAAAAATAATAATGGGAAAAGGGTATTAGCGATCAGAATTACATCTAATAGCAATGAGGAAAGTTTATTATCAATCAGAAATACGACCAATAACGATGTTAAAGGTGTATTAACAATCAAACATCAATAAAAAGTTGAATGTTGTATTAACAATCAGAATATTGTACGAACATTCAGAATAATGACCCATGACACTATGAATGGTGTATTATCAATCAAAATCAGGACCAATCTGAAAGATATATTATCAATCAATATTAGTATAAATAACGATGTTTAAGATATATTCACAATTAGAATAAGGACCAATAGCAATATGAAAGTTGTATTAAAAATCAGAACGAGGACAGATAACATATGGAAGGTGTATAATCAATCACAATGAAGATAAATATTTATGTTTAAGGTGTTTTAACAAGTAAAATAAGGACCAATAACAATGTGAAAGTTGCATTATCAATCAGAACGAGTATCAAACACAAAGTGGAATATGTATAATCAGTCAAAATTAGGATAAATAACGATGTTTAAGGTGTATTCACAATAAGAATAAGGACCAATAACAATGTGAAAGGTGTATTATCAGTCAGGATTAAGATAAATAATAAAGTGAAAAGTGCATTTTAAATCAGATTAATAATAAATAACAATATGAATGATGTATTAAAACTTAAAATAATGACCAATAACTCTGTTAAAGGTGTATCAACGATCAAAATAATGATCAATGATAATGTGAAAAGAGAATTATCAATCGGAATGAGGACCAATAGCAATGTAAAAAGGGGTATTCGCGATCAGAATAAGGACCATTAACGCAGTGAAAGGTGTATTAGAGATCAGATTTAGGAACAATATCAATATAGAAAATTTATTAATCAGAATAAGGAACATTAATAATGTGAAAGGTGTATAATAAATCAAAATTAGGATAAATAACGCTGTTAAAGGTGTATTATCAATCAGAATAATGACCAATAACAATGTGAAAAGGGTATTACTGATCTTCATATTTACCACATTTTATCATAACAAAGTTGTTGAAAGTTCCCATGTCTACTTTATTGTGTTCTTTCACTCATACACAAACAAATGGTATCTTGGTTAGGAAAAGTTGGGCAAGGGTTTTTTTCTTTACCATAGTAACATTACGTTTTCATTATTTTCTCAATAATTTTTTTTTCTCTCTTTCATCTTTGTCCCCCTGTGGGAAGATATTTGTTCGACAGAGGTACCACAGGTCCCAAATATTGAAATTCTACTTTTCCACCATTTTCTTCAGTTTGTCTCGCTTTATATTGCAGAAGAAATGATTTGTTAGTAACCTACATGAACAAGTCTCATTCATTTAAGCAATAAATTGTATGTGTTATCAATTTGCTTAAAATCAACAAAAGTGAACGTCTTATGAAATACTTGCAAGAAGGGCATTTCGGTAATTATATAAACTATAGTTTTTTTTATATTCTTATTTATTAGTTATATTGATGTTGCCAACAACATTTTATGCAATATTCAGCAATTAGATATTTCATTAGTTAATGAAAAAAACTTACTGTATACATAATATACAATAGAAACAGGCATAATATGGAATGGCCCACAAAAGCATTCTGTTGTCACAATTGAAAGACTCATATATGTACATGTAAGCACAATTGCCATCTAGTACTGATGTGATAAACTTGTGAATTTTAACATTGTTGTCATTTGTTTTGAACATAATAATATAATGTATGAACATAAATTAATGTTGTTAGCTGTGACATCGTTTATTTTCATCCTTTAGTTCTCGCACTTTAAATGTTTTCTGACAGATTGGATGTAGGATCATAATCTGTAGTTAGTTGCATTAAAAATTAATTAATGATGCATATTTATTAATGTTTCTTTTATAAATAATTCATGATTTTCTTTTTAGGACATTTTAAAAACCTGAAGCTTTCTTTTCGCGTCTTCAAAGAAGAAGGAATAGGGTCAAAGATAACAAAGATGATTCAACCAATTTAGCAGGTACCACACAGTTCAAGCAATATACATATCCACTATTACAGTATTATTGGTCAATAATTGGACATACATTTATATAATTACTTCTCATAGAGTAGGTACCTAAAGATGTCATGCTCAGAATTAATATCCGGTCTATATTCTAGTAAGTCATCTTCTTGAACCCAGGACTCAAAATAAATCACTCCTATCCATGGTTTTGGTGATACCTGCCTATTTCCTCAAAGCAAATTATTAATTAACTTCTGTGGGTGGTATCCTTCGACAAAACCTGAACTCCTATGGTTGGATAGATGTTTAACTGGAATAACCTTTAGTAGCTAAACAGATGAGAGTATGGCTGCAACTTCTAATAAGTAGGATTAGAACAACTATATTGAATACTGGGCAGCATGTTAGAAAAAGACCTTTGGTTTGACAAGTTTGGTTACATCGTCTTTTTAAATGTATTGTGTTATTAGTAGTTTTTTCAAAATCTGCTGAAAGACTGCTTGGTTTAAATTCTTGATTTCAACAACAATGATAGTTTATAGTTACAGACGCCATTCAAACAGATAATATACATTATATTGAACAAAACATAGCAGTTTTCAACCAGAGAGGCAGAACACAAAATTTCGTAAGCTCGGGAAAGTGGATTTTTGAGGACTGGTTATTTTGATAAGGCCATACTTTAGTATATCATGTATACGCAGCAATGTTTGCAAAATTTGTATTCCCTGTAATTGTACTTGATATCTAACCTCTTTTTTATAGTGCTTCTCTAGCCTGTTGTGAATATATATAAATTTTGTGAATATATATGAATGTTGTGAAGATATAGGATAATTACTAAAAACTTAATAGCCATAATATGAGTGTTAAAATTTTCTCTGGTTTTATCGAGAACATTCTTTTTATAATTTGGTTTTGCTATATGTCAAATCCATGCTTTATGTGCTTGTATGCACATACACCTTTATTCAGCTTTCTTATCAGATAACACATACAATGAGTAAAATATGCCGCATCATGATGTTCGGCTGGATGTGTGGTTTTGAAGTAATGGTTCAATTTAGGGAATCAAATCTTTAGATACTGCTCAAATGCAATAATATGTTCTAACTGGAACTGCAGAGAAGAATTCAGGTCCTGGACATATTGTAAGATCTGGCTGTAAATAATTCTTTTGAAAGTTTCATAATAAATGCATGCATGAGAATCACTAGCCTATAAACCTGTATATATGTGAAAGCAGTATTCTAACCTCTCTGTTGTATGTTTTAGACCTATTCAATGTGCTGATGATGCGTTCCGTTGGTTGAAACTTTGAAGAGAGGTGTTACATATTGATTATGTTGGTTATGCATTCATAGCACAAAGGAAATTACAAGATATCTCATAAACTTATAAAAAAGATTTTGTCAATATTCACACAATAGTATCACATCAAGTCATGTACCTGATTAGATTTTAATGGTCGTTGGCGAAGTTTTTTATGTCAAAGGTCTCTCTCGACCAGTTTTGAATGAAAATGCTTATGTACACGGTACTTTATGAACTCCTGAACGGATTTAGATCTAAAACCCAGACTTCTACTGTAGCGTTCTGGTGGCCTTCATTCTTTAAGGGATTCTCATCAAACTTCACACACTTATAAAACATCAAATTATTTTGAACAAGTTTGAGTGTCAGTGTTAAAAAGTGTTTTCTCTTTAGTGGCTTCATTCCTGAGAAGATTTTTATTAAACCACTTGCAAATGACCATAACACATTATTGCACAATGGTGATATATTGTCCGATTGTCGTACTTATTTTTCCATTGTTCTTTTCAAAATAAGTAACAAAGTAATTGTATACTTAACGCCAAACAGCACCACCTTTATAAATAAATATAACGTAATGGCTTGTGGGAGACGGTAAGAGACATGCATTGCACTAGCAATACTCTCTATCCTTGTTGCAGTAGTATACCCTCAGATACTTGGTATGAATAGTTTCAGTTTTAAGTGCCATTCGATAACGTTAAATTGTCATCTATATTTAAGTTTTTTGATTGATTTTGTTCGTTTGTTTGCTCTAAAAATGATTTTATATCCAAAAGTGAGGATTCATTTTACTGCCACTTTTAGGGTAAACATGCAGGTCTTGAAGTGAATGACACAATTTACCTACTCTATTCCGTCAGTGTATGTCATGACTTTACTTCAAGACGGTCCCACAAGAGTCAACGCCATTTTGTCTGTGATCATCGATTGTTGACAAATCCTGT